TTATTTTAATTGCTATATAACCTTTATTCTTATTTATGGTGTATGATATCATTTATTTTATATATAATTAATATTTATGTTTAGCTGCTTTTTTCTTCAAGGTGAAAGTAAATACTAACATTCAGGATTTTTCAGATTAATTCATTTTACTGAGAATAATTCAAATACTACTACTAATAAAACTTTCTTAAGATAGTGAAAAACTCAAATAAGTCCCCTCTGTGTCTGCTCATTCAGTTGAATACCACCTTAGTAAAAAAGTGTAGAAAACCATTTTACCTGCACACATATTAGAAGTGGGCTACAACAATGGCACAAGAATCTAGGGTTGATTCCTACAACTCACTCTCAATAGCTAAATGTAGTAACATTGAAACATGCTTGGAATCTCTCCACTAGGGAAGTGAAGATAGGCTGATCTTTTGGGATTGCTGGATTGCCAGCTGAGCCGACTTAGGTGAGCCCCAGGTCCCAGTAAAAGACTCTTTCTCAAAAAAGTACTTCAATTTTCTAACTATTGTGAATAAAGCAGCAATTAAAGTGGATGAGCAAGTACATTTGCACTAGAATATTCCTTTGGGAATATGCCCAGGAGTGGTATACCTGGACATATAGTAGATTTATCTCTAGCCTTTTGAAGACTCTCCATACTGATTTTCATAGTGACTGCACAGTTTGCACTACCACCATTAGTGAATAAATATTATCCTTTTTCCACATCCATGCCAACACATGTTGCCTAGATAATAAAAATTATATTCTATATATGCACATATACATAATAGAATATTATTCAACTGTAATCAAAAATAAAATTTGAAGATAAGAGATGGAGTTGGAAATAATCTTTAAAAGTGAGGTAAACCATGCACAGAAAAACAATGCTATGTGTTCTCTCTCACATATATTTAAATATGTGAAAGAAATGCTATATTTAAATCTTTAGATATATGTGTTTAAATATATATGTCATATAAATCAGGAAACTGTAAGGGTCCATTGTGGGAGATATTAAGGGAAAGGTATAGAACATAGACAGTGTAAATTAGAAAGGTGGAATACTAGATTAGGAAGAGTTAAGTGGGGTTAGGCATGGGAAAGCAGGGATTATGGGACATATGACTAATGCTTAATACCTTTGACATTCCATATGAAAGCCTACTAATATATCAGCTTTCTAAAAGATATACAAATGAATATTTAAAATGAATGTAAACTGAATTATCCTATAACAAGAAGACAAAAATCTCTCTCAGATACCATAAGCCAGCATATAAAATCCCATGGCAGATGTGGGTTACCTATTTTAGAGTTATTGCACAGTAAGTTTCCATAGACATCTCAAAAATTACAATTATTATCCTTGTTTCTTAGTTGTTCTACAAAAATTGATGTTAGGGCTCTGTTGCTGAAGACTCTTGAAAAAATCAAGCTGGAATTGACCTGAAAGCTTCATCCCTCCTGGATAACTTTCAGAGGACAGGAATGTGTTATGCGTCGTATCAGAGGAGAAATGTGATGAACTGTCTTATTCATCTGTGAAACCTTAGAATTATAATAATGTTTTGTCTAACTAAATGTATTTACTATTGCTTGCAATAGTGCCATGGATGTTGTAGCAGTAACCAACTATATTCCTTTTTTTTTTTTTGTTGGTTTTTCGAGACAGGGTTTCTCTGTGGTTTTGGAGCCTGTCCTGGAACTAGCTCTTGTAGACCAGGCTGGTCTCGAACTCACAGAGATCCGCCTGCCTCTGCCTCCTGAGTGCTGGGATTAAAGGCATGCGCCACCACCGCCCGGCCAACCAACTATATTCTAATTGTATTTAAAAACTGCTCCACCAGATAGAACTCACATCTGAAACAATTAATTGGGCCAGAAATTCATTCCTGGATAGGTCATTGCCTCTCGGTCCTCAGAGAAACTTTTATCATTGATATTGTTGTTTGAGTATATGGTGAATAATACAGAGATTCACAAATGGTCAGCATACAGAGAATAGAGTATATCACAATTCTTTGACTCCAAGTCTTGGGTATCATCATGGAAGAAGGTGCAGAAAGAGTGTAAAAATCAGGGGTAGTGGTAATTTGCAAAGACACAGTGTTTGCTGGACATAACCAGGATATTGCATAAATGAAGTCATAGCAGCTATTATTGTATGAACAAGTACTAAAAAATATCAAACCAGCCAAAATTCTAGCACAGATATGGGAGAGCCTATGAAGTCTCACACCTAGCTGAAAAGCTACTGGCAATTAATTGTTGCTAGGGGAGGGAAAGTCAATTTTATTTAGGGATGTAGCCACTGAGAGATCATCCATATTCCAGTGGATGGTCCTACACTCATGTATATATATAGGTAGCGGAAAAAACATATTTTTAAGGAGGACATGAAATTTTAAAGGAGAAGTGGTTGGTAAAGAGGAGAGAAGGGAATGGGTAATAGATTTGTTCAAAACACATTATATTCATGCATGAAATTCTCAAACAATAAAAAATTAAAAAGTGCAGATTTTATCTGAAGTTTTACTCTGGCCTCAACACACATACACTTACAACATGCATACACATCCTCATGCAAAAATCTCAAAGTTATAAAAGTGGGATCTGTGAGTGCTATTTTCCTCATGTTAGCCTTTAAAATTATGTAAGTGCCATCAAAGTTGTGGGGTGATTTCATAAGTTTTAGCAACTGCAAAGTATTTAATGTATGTATAGATGTGGCAACTGGTTACATTCCTGCCATTTAGCATCCTAATAAAATTCTCTTTAGCAAAAGTCTCAAAAACACAACTCAGAAAACCAAAAACCAAAACAGCCTCTGGCTCCAGAGTAATGTTTGGAAACAAAAGCCATTGTTCTTCCCAGAGCCCCATCAAAACCTGACATATTCTTTCCTTTTTCGTCTCAGAGAGAATCACATATACTCTGCCTCGGAGAACTTCAGTAAACAAACAAAAGCCAGCAAACCAAAGTTTTCCCCATATGTCAGGAACCATGCTCAAATGATTCGAGTGCCCACAGAGCAAGAGAAATAACTAGTCTGTTAGGCCACAATACAAAATAAAAATTCCTGTTCTCAATACAATCACAAAAATGGTTGTCAACTGAGTCAAGTATCAACAAAAATAATTTTTCCTTTACAACTTCAGGGTAATACAGGCTATGCAACATTGTACATCTTCCCCTAAAACATCAATTAGGGTACAGAAAATGCAAACAAAATGACGGTGCTGACAAGGACTGACAGAGAACGTGATGCTGGGACTAATTTCCAATTAATTGACTCTGGAAGAATGATTGGTTCTATTTGAATGACCCACAATATGAAATTAAGTGACAACAAAATAGGGAATCTTTCATTTAGTATCTGCCCCACAACACAGAAATCCAAGAACTAATATAGGCCTGAAAATTAGGAATGCTTTTCTCTATTTCAAGGGCCTTGTACTTTGAAGTAAACTATGCATTATCCCACAACACCACATATCTTTATTCAGCAAATTATCTACTTTTCATATTTATAAAATGGATATATGTTTACTGTAGAACTTTACAAAATTTATCAACAAAATATTTCCATATATACTCACTATTAACATGAAATCATATATCCTTTTTCATGGAGTATTCTAATATTTCAAAACAAGAACATGTTATATATGCCTATGTAAATTTATATTTAGTTTTAAATTTTAAATGATCCATTTTTTGCTTTGTACAAATCCATTGTGCTAATTTTGTTTTATCTTATTATATTATATTGTATAGAGTATATATTATACTATATATTATAATGACATAATCTATGCCATTTAACGTATCTTGTGTGTAAATATTCACATATATAGAAACAAATACATGTGTTCTACTCTTCCATTTGCACATGCGTCATACAAATTTGTTCAGCTTTAAGATTGCTACCTGAAGGTGTTATGCAAGTACCCAACAGAGAAGAGTAATAAATAGTCCTACCCAGCTGTAAAGACTGCAACTCAAAATGACTGGGGGCCTGACAAAATATTCCCAAGGCTCCAATAGTGGCACTTAGATTTTGAGGGTAATCAACAGATGCTTCTTGGACAGACGGCCCTTTCAGTAGTGAGGTTCTCATTCCTGGTACTGCAAACCTGGGTAGTGACACCATGGAATCTAGAGGACTGGTGATTGCCATTTTTCTAAACCAGAATGATTTCTAAATGTCTTAATGTCTTCTATGTAGTTATTTTTCCTTATACCCTCAAATAAGATTATCTCTCATCCCTCATCATAGAGGCTTCCTTTTGAAGTGGAAAAAGGCTTCTACAGAGATTTACATCTGATCTGGTCAAAATGCAGAAAATATGTGATAGTTGAGATCTCTACCTGCAACCAGTGCATCTACAATTTAACAGCTACACAAAAGGTTCAGAAAACATCACTGCAGAGAAAGTGGAGTGTTTAAGAGGCAGAAAACCTGGATGCTTGCTGTGATATAGTGTCTTCTAGACATGACAAACAGTGCACTCGAAAAATCTAAATAGCATGGTGGTCTAAACTAGATCTGCCTAACCATCATTCAGTCAACAAGCGAGCATGGATGGAGAAAGTGTCACAAGTCAATGGCTACTGAAGAAGGGAGAATCCATTATTTCCAGGTATCTATTTCCAAGTCCTCAGTTGAAGACACATAAACATATGAGCAACACTAAACACTAGATGGAATCAGAATGTCTCTCTCTCTCTCTCTCTCTCTCTCTCTCTCTCTCTCTCTCTCTCTCTCTCTCTCTCACACACACACACACACACACACAAACACACACACTCAAAAAATACAATTATTAGAGAAATGGTCAGGAATTCTAAGGGGTTTATGGAATATTGAAGGAGTTGTAGGGAAGATGGAAGGATGTAAATGTTGTAAATACAAGATATTCATGTGTGAAACTCTAAACTCTAAAATACTTAAATAAAAACCCATATATAGTTTTTCATCCGGGTTTTGGACAGGGACAAGCATGGCACCACCTGTGAGGTACTGCATCCCTAGTGAACGCCTGTGTAACTTGGAGGAAGGCAGCCCCAGGAGCAGCACCTACACCCAGCATGGCTACATCTTTTCGTCACTGGCGGGCTGCCTGACAAAGACCAGTGAGAATGGCGTGCTTCCTGTGGTGTCTGTGATGAGAGAAACAGAGTCCCAGCTACTTCCAGATGTAGGAGCTGTTATCACCTGTAAGGTCTTTAGCATCAACTCACATTTTGCCAAAGTACACATCTTGTATGTGGGTTCCACACCACTAAAAAATGCTTTTCAAGGGCACTGGGACCGAACCCGAATCGGAAGGGCAAAAGGGAGGGTGGTAGTTCCTTTGTCTCCATAGCCTGCCTGCAGCAAGCAGGGTGGGCCCTTTGTGTGCGAGGTACCCAAGCAGCACGGAGTTTCGATCTGGGCACCGCAAGAGACATCATTGCGGTGAGTGAGTGTGGCGACAGTGGGGATCAGGGAACTCAGACGTTCCTCATCCCCCCTCAACTTCCTGTTCATCCTGAAGGGGCTATACTGCCCAATACCTCCTCTCTCTTCCTATAAGACCCAGCTTACATCCAGAAGCCCCTACCCCCTGTCTTTCTCCCTCACTCCCTCCCTCCCCTCTTTGGTGGCATAGCACCTCCCAGCTCAGCCTGCTAGGGCGCTGGGACCGAACCCAAATCAGGAGGGCAAAAGGGAGGGCGGTAGTTCCTTTGTCTCCATAGCCTGCCTGCAGCAAGCAGGGTGGGCCCTTTGTGTGCAAGCTAACCAAGCAGCAAGGAGATCCGATCAGGACACCAGGAGAACCATCACTGGGGAGTGACATCACTGGGAAGGTACATCAGTGTGCAAGAAGACCTGACCCTGTAAAAGAAGATCCATAGGGGAGTATTGGGAGGAAGAGATGGGCAGACACCAATGCTAGAATTCACCCAACAATCTGAAAAACAACATGAAACCACCAGAAGCCAGCGACATCACAACAGGAGGACATGAACACCTTAATCAAGAAGAAGTAGAAAAAATTGACTTCATGAAAGTGATTGACACCCTTAAACAGCATGTAAAAAATGCCCTTATAGAAATGGATGAGAAGTATAACAGAAAGTTCGAGGAATTGAATAAATCAGTGAATGATACCCTAGGAAACCAAGGAAAAACAATCAAGCAGATAATGGAAACTGTTCAAGACCTGAAAACTGAAATGGAGGCAAAGAAGAAAACACAAACAGAGGGCCGGCTGGACATGGAAAATCTAGGTAAACGAATAGAGACTACAGAAACAAGTATAACCAGCAGAATACAAGAGATAGAAGAAAGAATCTCAGATTCTGAAGATAACATAGAGAAAATAAACACACTGATCAAAGAAAACAGCAAGTCTAACAAACTCTCATCAAAAAACATTCAGGAAATATGGGACAAAATAAAAAGACCAAACCTAAGAATAATTGGAGTAGAAGAAGGAGAAGAAGTGCAGCTCAACGGTACAGAAAATATACTTAATAAAATTATAGAAGAAAACTTTCCCAACCTGAAGAAAGATGTACCTATGAAGGTTCAAGAAGCTTACAGAACACCGAATAGGCTGGATCAAAAAAAAAAAAAAATCCCCTCGCCATATAATAATCAAAACACAAAGCATACAGAATAAAGAATTAATATTAAGAGCCACAAAGGAAAAAGGCCAAATTACTTATAAAGGTAAACCTATCAGAATTACACCTGACTTCTCTATGGAAACCATGAAAGCCAGAAGGTCCTGGATAGATGTACTGCAAAAACTAAGAGACCATGGATGCAAGCCCAGACTACTATACCCAGGCAAGCTTTCATTCACTATAAATGGAGAAAACAAAATTTTCCAGGATAAAAACAAATTTAAACAATATGTAGCCACAAATCCAGCCTTACAGAAAATAATAGAAGGAAAATCACTAACCAAGGAGTCCAACAATGACCACAATAACTCAGACATCTAGAGACCCTTCACCAGCGCAACTCAAAGAAGGGAAACACACAAACCCTACTACTAAAAGAGAAGCTAAATAAGAAGGTGAATCCAAAGACAAACACATAGGCATCCTCATGAGTATTAACCTTCATCAGGCGATGAAAGGAGACAGAGACAGAGACCCACATGGGAGCACCTGACAGAAATCTCAAAGTCCAAATCAGGAGCAGAAGGAGACGGAGCACGAGCAAGGAACTCAGGAACACGAGGGATGCACCCACACACTGAGACAATGGGGATGTTCTATCAAGAACTCACCAAGGCCAGCTGGCCTACGTCTAAAAAAGTGTGGGATAAATCCGGACTAGCTGAACATAGCGGACAATGAGGAATACTGAGAACTCAAGAACAATCGCAGTGGGTTTTTGATCCTACTGCACATACTGGCTTTGTGGGAGCCTAGGCAGTTTGGATGCTCACCTTATGAGACCTGGATAGAGGTGGGGAGTCCTTGGGCTTCCCACAGGTCAGGGAACCCTGATTACACTTCGAGCAGATGAGGGTGGGGGACTTGGTCGGGGGAGGGGGAGGGAAATGGGAAGCGGTTGTGAGGAGGAGGCAGAAATCCTTAATAAATAAATTTTTTAAAAAAGTGACCTGAGTTAACAACCACTGGTCATTAACATCACTTAATGTCAATGGGCTCAACTCACCTATAAAAAGGCACAGGCTAAGAGATTGGATACGAAAACAGGATCCAACATTCTGCTGTTTACAAGAAACACACCTCAACCACAAAGACAGGCACCTACTCAGAGTAAAGGGCAGGGAAAAGGATTATCAAGCAAATGGACCTAAGAAACAAGCAGGTGTGGCCATACTAATTTCTAACAAAGTTGACTTCAAACTTAAATCAATCAGAAGAGATGGAGAGGGACATTTTATACTCATAACAGGAACAATTCATCAGGATGAAGTGTCAATCCTGAATATCTATGCCCCTAATATAAAAACACCCACGTACATAAAAGAAACATTACTAAAACTCAAGGCAGCCATCAAACCGCACACACTAATAGTAGGAGACTTCAACACTCCTCTCTCACCAATGGACAGGTCAATCAGACAGAAACCTAACAGAGAAATTAGAGAATTAATGGAGGTAATGAAGCAAATGGATTTAACAGACATCTATAGATTATTCCACCCAAAGTGGAAAGAATATACCTTCTTCTCTGCAGCTCATGGAACCTTCTCGAAAATTGACCACATACTCGGTAACAAACTAACTTACACAGTTACAAAAAAAAATATTAGTAACCACCTGTGTCTTATCAGATCACCATGGATTAAAGTTAGAATTCAACAACAATGCTACCCCCAGAAAGCCTACAAACTCATGGAAACTGAACAGTCAACTACTGAACCATACCTGGATTAAGGAAGAAATAAAGAAAGAAATTAAAGTCTTCCTTGAATTCAATGAAAATAAAGAAACAACATACTCGAACTTATGGGACACTATGAAAGCAGTCCTGAGAGGAAAGTTCATAGCACTAAGTGCCCACTTAAAGAAAACAGAGAAAGCACATATTGGAGACTTAACAGCCCACCTGAAAGCTCTAGAAAAAAAAGAAGAAGACTCACCAAGGAGGAGTAGAAGACTGGAAATAAGCAAACTGAGGGCTGAAATCAACGAAATAGGAACACAGAAAACAATCCAAAGAATCAATGAAACAAATAGCTGGTTCCTGGAGAAAATCAACAAGATTGATAAACCCCTATCAAAACTAATCAAACGGCAGAGAGAGAATACGCAAATTAATAAGATCAGAAATGAAAAGGGGGACATAACCACAGACACAGAGGAAATTCAGAGAGTCATTAGATCTTACTACAAAAGCCTGTATGCCACAAAACTGGAAAATGTTAAAGAAATGGACACTTTTTTAGAAAAATACCATATACCAAAATTAAACCAGGACCAGGTGAGCAATCTAAACAGACCTGTCAGTCGCAAAGAATTAGAAGCTGTTATCAAAAACCTCCCTACCAAAAAAAAAGCCCAGGACCAGATGGTTTCAATGTGGAATTCTACCAGAACTTCCAAGAAGACCTAATACCTATACTCCTTAATGTATTCCACAATATAGAAACAGAAGGGTCATTACCAAATACCTTTTATGAAGCTACAGTTACTCTGATACCAAAACCACACAAAGACTCAACCAGGAAAGAGAATTACAGGCCAATCTCACTCATGAACATCGACGCAAAAATCCTCAACAAAATACTGGCAAACCGAATCCAAGAACACATTAGAAAAATTATCCATTATGATCAAGTAGGCTTCATCCCAGAGATGCAGGGCTGGTTCAACATACTTAAATCTATCAATGTAATCCAGCATATAAATAAACTGAAAGAAAAAAAAACATATGATCATTTCATTAGATGCTGAAAAAGCATTTGACAAAATTCAACATCCCTTTATGATAAAAGATGGAAGCGATTAGGGATACAAGGGTCATACATAAATATAATAAAAGCTATATACAGCAAGCCGACAGCTAACATCAAATTAAATGGAGAGAAACTCAAAGCCATCCCGCTAAACTCAGGAACACGACAAGGCTGTCCACTCTCGCCATACCTCTTCAATATAGTGCTTGAAGTTCTAGCAATAGCAATAAGACAACATAATGGGATCAAGGGGATTCGGATTGGAAAGGAAGAAGTTAAAATTTCGTTATTTGCAGATGATATGATAGTGTACATAAGCGACCCCCAAAACTCCACCAAAGAACTTTTACAGCTGATAAACACCTTTAGTAATGTGGCAGGATACAAGATCAACTCCAAAAAAACAGTCGCCCTCTTATAGACAAAGGATATGGAAGCAGAGAGGGAAATCAGAGAAGGTTCACCTTTCACGATAGCCACAAACAGCATACAATATCTTGGGGTAAATCTAACCAAGGAAGTGAAAGATCTATTTGACAAGAACTATAAGGCATTGAAGAAAGAAATTGAAGAGGATACCAGAAAATGGATGGACCTCCCTTGCTCTTGGATTGGGAGGATCAACATAGTAAAAATGGGCAATACTACCAAAGGCAGTTTATAGATTCAATGCAATCCCCATCAAGATCCCATCAAAATTCTTCACAGATCTTGAGAGGACAATAATCAACTTTATATGGAAAAATAAAAAACCCAGAATAGCCAAAACAATCCTATACAATAAAGGATCTTCTGGAGGCATTACCATCCCTGACTTCAAACTCTATTACAGAGCTACAGTAATGAAAACAGTGTGGTACTGGCATAAAAACAGAGAAGTCGACCAATGGAATCGTATAGAAGACCCGGATTTTAACCCACAAACCTATGAACACCTCATTATCGATAAAGGAGCTAAAAGTATACAATGGAAGAAAGAAAGCATCTTCAACAAATGGTGCTGGCACAACTGGATGTCAACCTGTAGAAGAATGAAAATAGACCCATATCTATCACCATGCACAAAACTCAAGTCCAAATGGATTAAAGACCTCAATATCAGCCCGAACACTCTGAACCTGATAGAAGAGAAAGTGGGAAATACCCTACAACATATGGGCACAGGCGATCACTTCCTAGGTATAACCGCAGCAGCACAGACATTAAGGGCAACATTGAACAAATAGGACCTTCTAAAACTGAGAAGCTTCTGTAAAGCAAAGGACACTGTCACTAAGACAAAAAGGCAACCTACTGACTGGGAGAAGATCTTCACCAACCCCGCAACAGACAAAGGTCTGATCTCCAAAATATATAGAGAACTCAAGAAACTAGACATTAAAATGCTAATTAACCCAATTAAAAAATGGGGCACTGAACTGAACAGAGAATTTTCAACAGAAGAAGTTCAAATGGCCAAAAGACACTTAAGGTCATGCTCAACCTCCTTAGCAATCAGGGAAATGCAAATCAAAACAACTTTGAGATATCATCATACAACTGTCAGAATGGCTAAAGTCAAAAACACCAACGATAGCCTTTGCTGGAGAGGCTGTGGAGGAAGGGGTACCCTCATCCATTGCTGGTGGGAATGAAATCTTGTGCAACCACTGTGGAAATCAGTGTTTCGGTTTCTCAGGAAATTCGGGATCAACCTACCCCTGGACCCAGCAATACCACTCTTGGGAATATACCCAAGAGTTGCCCGATCATATGACAAAAGCATTTGTTCATCTATGTTCGCAGCAGTATTATTTGTAATAGAAAGAACATGGAAACAACCTAGATGTCCTTCAATGGAAGAATGGATGAAGAAAGTATGAAATATATACACATTAGAGTACTACGCTGCTGTAAAAAAACAATGACTTCTCGAATTTTCATGCAAATGGATGGAAATAGAAAACACTATCCTGAGTGAGGTAACCCAGACCCAAAAAGTTGAACATGGGATGTACTCACTCATAATTGCTTCCTAGCCATAAATATGGGTCACGGAGACTACAATTGGTGAACCTAAAGAAGCTAAGTATGAAGGTGAACCCAAGGAAAAACATATAGTTATCCTCTTGTCTGTGGGAAGTAGACAAAATAGCAGGGGAGAAAATTGGGATCTTGGGGGTGGGTTGGGATGAGGGTAAGGGGAGATGGGGAGAGAAAAGTGAGAAGGGAAGGAGGGGGAACTTGGGGAAACAGGAGGATTGGGATAAAGGAAGGTTGGACAGGGGAGCACAGAAACACAATTCTTAGTTAAGGGATCCACCTTTGGGTTGGCAAGAGTCTTGACCGTAGAGTGGCTCCCAGGAGGCCAGGGTGATGTCCCCAGATAGTCCCTTGGGCAGCTGAGGATAGGGAACTTGAAATGACCCTATCCTATAGCAATACTGATGAATATCTTGCATATCACCATAGAACCTTCACCTGGTGATGGATGGAGATAGAGACAGAGACCCACACTGGAGCACTGGACTGAGCTCCCAAGGTCCCAATGAGGAGCGGAAGGAGGGAGAAGATGAGCAAGGAAGTCAGGACCACGAGGGGTGCACCCACCCACTGAGACATTGGGGCTGATCTAATGGGAGCTCACCAAGGCCAGCTGGACTGTGACTGAAAAAGCATGGGATAAAACCGGACTCTCTGAACATGGCGAACAATGAGGACTGATGAGAAACCAGGGACAATGGCACGGGGTTTTGATCCTACTTCATGTACTGGCTTTGTGGGAGCCTAGCCAGTTTGGATGTTCGCCTTCCTAGACATGGACGGAGGGGGGCGGACCTAGGACTTTCCACAGGCAGGGAACCATGACTGCTCTTTGGACTGGAGAGGGAGGGGGAGAGGAGTTTTGGGAGAGTGGGAGAAGGGTGGTAGGAGGGGGAGTGAAATGGGAGGTTGGGAGGAGGCGGATTTTTTTTTCCTTTTCTCAATAAAAAAATAAAAATAAAAAAAATGTTTTTCGAGGAACTATCCGCAAGGAAGATATCCGAGCAACTGAAAAAGACAAGGTTGAAATTTACAAGAGTTTCCTGCCCAGGTGACATAGTTTTGGCCAAAGTTATCTCCCTAGGTGACACACAGTCCAATTACTTGCTGAGCACTGCTGAAAATGAGTTAGGGTTAGTGGTAGCCCACAGTGAATCGGGTGTCCAGATGGTTCCCATCAGCTGGTGTGAGATGCAGTGCCCCAAGACCCACACAAAAGAATTCCGGAAAGTGGCCAGGGTATAGCCTGAGTTCTTACAAACCTAAATACACTTCCCCTCAAAGACGGAGCCACCTTTTTCCAAGAGTACCAGTATGAAAAGAACATCAAGATGCCACAGTCTTTATTAAGGGGTCTACAGTTACCTAGCAACCACCTCTTGAAAAATCTGCCAGAAATAAGTTTGTGTTGTAATGAGCACCCAAGGCCTATGCAGCTGAGACAGGAAGATTTTTAGTTCCCACGCGTGAGTGTGGCCTAGGCTACATAGTAAGACTCTTTCAACCAAAATATAAAACACTGTTCTTGGGAAACTGATTTTTATTCTCTTGGCTGGTGTTTGCATTCAGCAAACAAAACCATGTAATATTGGAAATAGCTTATGCCTTCTTTATAAATATGTATATATGTATTTTGCTATGACTGGTGAAAAAATGCTTTTCACATTTTAAATATATATATATATATATATTCAATGAAACTTGAATATGAATGTTGGGTTGTTGTGTTTCTTTTTAACAGTAAAATGTCAGTTGGCCATCTTGAATTTATATGCTCCTGACTATAAAACTGGAATGTGTATTTATATGTAACTGATTGCACACAATTTTTATACAAAACAAATTGAATTTCAAAAAATAAATAAAAGATGATTGCTTCCTGGGGTTAGAGAGATGGTGCAATATTTAAGAGTGGTTGCTCTTTGCCTTACAGAATGAGAAAAGATCTTCACCAACCTTATATCAAACTGAGGGCTGATCTCCAAAATATACAAAGAACTCAAGAAATTGGTCATCAAAAGAACAAATAATCCAATAAAAAAGATGGAGTACAGACCTAAACAGAGAACTCTCAACAGAGGAATCCAAACTTAAGGAAATGCTCAACATCCTTATTCATCAAAGAAGTGCAAATCAAAACAACTCTGAGATTCCATCTTACACCTGTAAGAATGGCCAAGATCAAAAACACGGATGACAGCTTATGCAGGAGAGGATTGGGGTAAAGGGAACACTCCTGCATTGCTGGTAGGAGTGCAAACTGGTACAGCAACTTTGGATATCAGTATGTCGATTTCTCAGAAAATTAAGAAACAACCTTCCTCAAGACCCAGCAATACCACTTTGGGGTATATACCCAAAGGATGTTCATGTATACCACAAGGACATGTGCTCAACTATGTTCATAGCAGAATTGTTTGTCATAGCTAGAGGCTGGAAACAACATAAATGACCCTTCACCAAAGAATGGAAAAGGGAAATGTGGTATATTTGCACAATGGAATACTAAACAGCAGAAAAAAATAATGAAATTTGCAGGCAAATAGATAGAGCTAGAAAACATCATATTGAATGAGGTAACACGGACTCAGAAAGACAAATATTGCATGTACTCATTCATAAGTGGTTTTTGGACATAAATCAGAGAAAAATCAGCCTACAATTAACAATCCCAGAGAACCTAGACAACAAAAAAGACCCTAAGAGAGATATACATGGATCTAATCTACATGGGAAATAAAAAAAGACAAGATCTCCTGAGTAAATTTGGAGCATGGGGACCATGGGAGAGGGTAGAAGGCGAGGGGAGAGGAAGGGAGGGGAGAAGAGAAATATTTATAGATTAATAAAATCAATATTTTTTTTAAAAAAAAGAGAGTGCATGTCCTTCTGGCACAATTGAACATCCTTTGGATATATACACAAAAATGGTATTATTGAGTCTTGAGGAAGGTTGTTTCCTAATTTTCAGACAAATCGCCACGCTGACATCCAAAGGGGTTGTACCAGCTTGCATTCCCACCAGCAATTGCAGAAGTGTTCCCTTTTCCCCACAACCTCTCCAGCATAAATTGTCATCAGTGTTTTTGATCTTGGCCATTCTTACAGGTATAAGATTTAATCTCAGAGTTGTTTTGATTTGCATTTCTCTGATGACTAAGGATGTTGAACATTTCCTTAAGTGTCTTTCAGCCATATTAGATTTCTCTGTTGAGAGTTCTCTGTTTAAGCCTGTACTCCATTTTTTATTGGATTATGTGATCTTTTGGTGTCCAACTATGTTCATAACAGCTTTGTTTGTCATTGCCAGAACCTGGAAACAACCTAAATGTCCCTCGATTGAAGAATGGATAAGAAAAATGTGGTACACAATAGAGTACTACACAACAGAAAAAAATAATGACAGCTTAAATTTTGCAGGAAAATGGATGAAACTAGAAAATATTATTTTGAGTGAGGTAACCCAGACACGGAAAGACAATTATCACATGTACTCACTCATAGGTGGTTTTTAAACATAAAGCAAAAAAGCCAGCCTACAAACCACAATCCCAGAGAATTTAGACAACAATGTGGACACCAAGAGATACTTACATAGATATAATCTACATGGGAAGTAGAAAGTATAAAAGGACAAGATCTCGTGAGTAAATTGGAAGCATGGGAACCTTGAGGGAGGATTGAAGGGGGAGGGGAGAGACAGGGAGGGGAGTAGAGAAAAATGTAAAGCTCAATAAATATCAATAAAAAAAAGAGTGGCTGCTGTTCTTAGAGAGGACCCACGCTGGGTTTCCAGCACACATGGAGGAAGCCTCACAGCCATCTGTAATGCCAACTCCAGGAGAACCAATGCCTTCTTCTGCCTTCCACTGTCAACTACCTGTGTTCAAGTTCATGGACACTAACAGAAATATACATACATACACATAAACAAAAATAAAAATAAATATTAAAAACAGATTACTTTCTCAGCTTTCTGTTGTTAATAACGCTCTATTGAATTACTGTGCATTTTTATTTATATTCATTTTTAATTTTAATTTTTTTGCTTTAAAAATTCCAAACAATATTTTGATCATATGCTCTTCCCTCCTGCTCCCAATTCTTCCCAAGTCTTTCCCATCCAACTTAATGTTCTTTCTTTCTTCCAGAAAAACAACCCAAATTAAAACAAATAAAACACTCCAAGAGAGGAAAAAAACAAACAAAAAACATACACACACATACACAAACACATACATACCTGCTTGCCTGTACATACACACACACACACACACACACACACACACATACACACACACACACACACACACACAACATGATCTAATCTCTGTACTTATTCAGTTTGAAATAAACATATTTAAAGCTTAACAGCTAACATTCACATCTGTGCGAAAACAGGGAATGTGTGTCTGGATCTGGATAAACCCACTCAAGATATTGTTTCTAGCTCTATCCATTTACCTGACAATTTCATGACTTTAATTTCCTAGACAGATTAATTCCCAGCACTTACATTGTAGCAGCTCACAGCCATCCATAACTCTAGTTCCAAAGGATTTGATGCCCTCTTCTGATCTCCCTGAACACCAGCCACATAATTATATGCAGGGAAAAATATCCACACCCATAATATTTTCACAAAATCTAATTTAAAAAAGTATAAAATATATTTCATTTAAGTCATCAACTGTAAAGTTTATATTGTTCTTAATTTTATAAGCAAATAAATTTCAAATCTTCTAACACTTGTCAAAATGATTGCACTGTAGATCAAAGGCATTAATTTCTTCTTGAAAATGTTCTCCTTTTTAATGCTCATTTTGTTTCTTTCTGAGAATGGCTAATGAAAATACCACTAGTATCATAGGTAACTCACTAAGCCGTTATGTGTCAGCCCTGTTTATCATCATCCCAAGCACCCTCAAAAATCTTGAGGTTTCCTTTTTATTTCCATGTCTTCCTTTAATTCTGTCATTCAGTGCACATTCCATGAAAATTAGCTTGTCTTTTTTTTTCCTAAGGCATCATTGACATTTTCTCTCGTAATATGAAAGAAACAGCTCCTGAAATAGCTTATATTTTTGTCAATATCTTGAGGTAATAGGGGAAAAGGTCACATCTCAGAGCCTTAACAGGATGAATAGATTGGATCAATTACTACCTACTCTAAGGATGGACTCCAAAGGGCTATATCCTCAGTATAAATGGCACCAAGGGTAAACAAGCCACAAGTAGTCTTGGGTGTCTAGACAAATGCAACATTTAAAGCTGCTCTTGAAATAGTCTACCCACAGGTACTTATTATAAACAGAAGGTTCTTTCTGGGGAAGGAAAATCCTATTATAGGTCTCATATCATTTCAATTAGTAAAATTTCAAATACAACACCAAGGAAACAGGCAGCTATAACTTTGCACAAAAAGAAATGAGCAACAGAGACCCAAGTCAATTAAAACACGGTAGTATGTAATCCCTTGCAGCCCTATAATTCTCTTTACAGTGACTGAAGCAAGGATGCTTTAAAAGGATTTTCAGGATGCATTTAAGTCAGTTTGCTTAAGTAATGAAAAACTTATAACTAATCCAAGAACTGAGAATAAATGACTATTAAATGTCGGCTCTTCAAGAATCATTGTATTACACTTTCCAAGGCTCAGGGAACACTGTGAAAGACAGGAAGAATGTAAAAGACAGAGAAACTGGTGGATCTGTGTGGTGTATGTAATACTAACTCCTGAGAATGGCATGGCTGCCAGATTCTTGAATGTATAATACCTGAGATTACCTACAGAGTTTCGTCACAAGATTGGGTTTCTCAACACCATGTCCTAGAATGTGGAAAGTCTCACAGGGCCCCACTTCCCACTGAGGATTTAAACCCAATTAATGGTTGACAGGGGAGAGAGGGTCATTTTCTTTTGTTTTTCAAAGATTTGTTTTCATGTGTGTAGTGTGTTTCTGCCTGTGGTTATGTGTATACATGAATGCAAATACTTGGGAATTCCAGAAAAAAGAATCAGAACTCCTCAATCTTGAGTTACAGGAGGTTGTGAGCCACCCAACTGGGGTAGTGGGAACAGAACTTGGGTCCTCTATAACAGAACTATGTGGTTCCTAGCTGTTGCATAAACACATGAAATCATGTATGTATAATAAGGCAAAATTATCCATGGGAACAAAGGCAACTAAGAGAAGGGGAAAGGGAGAAATTGTGTTCCCAGCATCATGATGAGGGGGGCTTGGAGGGAATATACCCCAAATACAATATATACTTTTATGGAATTAGAAATACCTTCAT